CAAGCTGTATGAACGAAAAAAAATGTGTGATAGATTAACTGTAACTTGTGACTCTAACATCAAATATAGGAAAAACGTCCGATGCACTGGTGGATACAATTTCTAAATATAACGTACATTAATTTTAAAAATACAATCGTAATCTCATATACCTTCATTCATATCCTGAATTCAATTTCGCCACATTGTCTGTCTTCTTCGACAGACCAGATTACACAGTGACAGCGGCAGTTTTATAATAGGTAGCTTCGAACATATTTTGATCAAGGTTCTCTTATAACTACAGAGGGTGTTAAAAGTTAGACTGCCTTAATTTTAACAGACTATAGAATACATTAAAATAAACCAAAAATCTTTATGACATGGGTCCTAAACTCAACCATTTCCGAGAAAAAAATCTTATTCCAATCTCTACTGTAATTTCAGTTGACGGTATTTTAAAATGAAATGAAAATTTCACAAATTTTCCAAAAAATTTAAAATTCTATATTTTAATTTATGTAGAATAATACTTTATATAAGATTCATGTTTAGCACCTCTATAGTTCAGTGCCATGTTTTACGCATTACATTTAATTGTAACAATTATATATTTTATAAAAAATTGTTCACAATAGGATAAACATCAATTTATATGCACTTCCTGAAGCGTGAAAATGTACAGTATGTCCCATAATTATGTCCCGAAGAAGAAAAGCATTTAAATAAATTTATGAAAAAATGTAATTCTTACTATTTTCAAGATCATCAGGGAAGATCAGGGTCTTCATTTTCAGAAAAATGAGTCCAATTGAGGGTAGAACACTTGTGGAAAGGTACGGGGGTTCCTATACAAATTCTAGGATATCTTGGGATCTACCAAAAATATGTCGGGATATAGAAACGTTATTTATAGGCTTGTCAGACTGAGGGTGGACAAATATCACTCTAACATTTTCACATCCTAGCCTTTCAACAGTTTGAGCTAAACATTAGAAATTTTAGAGTAAAAATATACATTGTATAATTTTGACAGTTTGCGTCATTTTGAAATATACAGTGTGGCTACGATTTAGGTGACACAGGCAACTCAGGTGTTAATTGACGAATCTTTTTCAAATTTTAACCACTTATGCAGATCAATGGGGTGGACATTTGAGGATCATTAAACTTACGTATATCCATAGGTGTGCGTTAGGGGAAATTAAAAGGGGGTCGATTTTTCGGTATTTTTTATTAGCGAATAAAATACGGAAATGCTGATGCCTTAGTCTTAATCAGTATCATCGAAAATATACCCATGTCAAGTTTCATCCAAATCGTATACTGGGTTGTACAGAAAATTCATTTAATACAAATGTAAATGATTTAGGTGACACAGGCCTATAACTCGGGTGTTAATTGACGAATCCTTTTCAAATTTTAACCACTTATGCAGACCAATGGGGTGCACATTTGAGGATCATTAAACTTACATATATCCATAGGTGTGCGTTAGGGGAAATTAAAAGGGGATCGATTTTTCGGTATTTTTTATTAGCGAATAAAATACGGAAATGCTGATGCCTTAGTCTTAATCAGTATCATCGAAAATATACCCACGGCAAGTTTCATCCAAATCGTATACAGGGTTGTACAGGAAATTCGTTTAATACAAAAAATAACATTGCATATTGTATTCACACAGTAATGCAAAATCCAGAGATCCATGTCAAATGATTTTGTTTAAATGAAATGACATTTATAATTTTTAGTTATTTTGACATAACACGTCAACAAGATTGTTATTAAAATTCCGAGTTTAAAAATAATTTATTGCGAAAAAACATCAGTGATGGCAGAAATTATATCTGTTACTGACAAAATTGAAATAATAAGAATTTCTGGAGAAACTGTTACATCGCGTGAAGCTGCAAGAATTTTTAATCACCGCCATCCCAATCGAACAGTAAGTTACAGTACAGTAGCACGAATTAATAAAATATTTAATCAGACTGGTAGTGTATCACATGTAAGACCAAAAGAATACCGACGAGCAAACTTACACGAAAATAGGATTTTAGATGCTTTCCGAAATAATCCACGACTAAGCATACGACATGCGGCATTGAATTTGAATTTAAACAAAGAGACCATAAGAAAATGTCTAAAAAAGAATAAATTGAAGCCCTTTAAACCAAAAATTTTACACACTCTTTTAGAAGGAGACAATTTAAGGAGGCTAGACTATGCTTTCTGGGTGCAAGGCGAATTTCTGAACGACAGAAATTTTTTGAAAAAAATAATTTTTAGCGATGAAGCTACTTTTTCTACAAATGGTGTTGTATCGACGCAGAACTCTCGATATTGGGAAAGAGACAATCCCAGGTGGATAATGAATGCTAAGAATCAGTATGTTTATAAAGTGAATGTTTGGTGCGCGATTTTTAATGATCGAATTATCGGACCCTTTTTTATAGAAACTTTAAACGCCCAAAATTTTTTACGTCTTTTGGAAACGGAATTTACTGATGTTTTGGACAATCTGCCGCTAGATGCTAGACAGAATTTATATTTTATGTTAGACGGTGCTCCTGCACATAGTTCGCGAATAATTAGAAACTGGCTGAATACTAATTTTCCGTTAAAGTGGATAGGGCCTCGTAGCCCGCTGCAGGACTGGCCAGCCAGGTCTCCTGATCTTACACCAATGGATTTTTATTTTTGGGGTACAGTTAAAAATAAAGTTTACACCAATCGTCCACAAAACATGGAAGATTTAAAACGACGAATAAGAGAGGCATGCCGAAACATTTCTTGTGAACAACTGCGAAAAGTAAATCGTCATATAAGAAAGGTAACAGAAGAATGTATAAGGAGAGATGGCGGCTACATTGAAACTAAGAAAATAAACTGAGTTTTGTTATACCTATTTTTTTTTGTTATCCAGTCTGTATTAGCTTATTTACATTTGTATTAAATGAATTTTCTGTACAACCCTGTATACGATTTGGATGAAACTTGACATGGGTATATTTTCGATGATACTGATTAAGACTAAGGCATCAGCATTTCCGTATTTTATTCGCTAATAAAAAATACCGAAAAATCGATCCCCTTTTAATTTCCCCTAACGCACACCTATGGATATATGTAAGTTTAATGATCCTCAAATGTGCACCCCATTGGTCTGCATAAGTGGTTAAAATTTGAAAAGGATTCGTCAATTAACACCCGACTTATAGGCCTGTGTCACCTAAATCATTTACATTTGTATTAAATGAATTTTCTGTACAACCCAGTATACGATTTCGATGAAACTTGACATGGGTATATTTTCGATGATACTGATTAAGACTAAGGCATCAGCAATTCCGTATTTTATTCGCTAATAAAAAATACCGAAAAATCGACCCCCTTTTAATTTCCCCTAACGCACACCTATGGATATACGTAAGTTTAATGATCCTCAAATGTCCACCCCATTGATCTGCATAAGTGGTTAAAATTTGAAAAATATTCGTCAATTAACACCTGAGTTATAAGCCTGTGTCACTTAAATCGTAGAAACACTGTATACTTTTGACTTACAAATTTCGCTACATACTGACAAAACGTGTAAAACGTTATTTGTAGTCCGTACACAATGTGTTTCAAAAACGATTTATTTTATAAATAAACACTTTCAAAACTAATTGCTGGAAGTACAAATTCGTGCTAAAAAATGTTAAAATCTATGAGATAGATATTTTAGTCTAATATTTGGAAAAAAAATCTATAATTGTAACTGAAGAAACAAAAACGTAATTTAGTTATTATGTTGATCAAACACTCTCTTTATACCTAGTTTTGTTTTTCCGATCATTGTTATTTTCATTTCAGAAAGATGCTATTTTTCTAAGTTTTTGGATTATTGTTATTTTTGTCCCGTTCATTTGTCAAATCTTTATTTTTAAATTATTCTTGCAAGACTAAATAAAAGTGTTAAAGCTGTACGTCGCCTTTCAAACTTTATCACTACATTCTTTGCTCAAAAATACGAATAAAATATCTTAATAAACTTGAAGAAATATCTCTGAAATGAAAAGGAACAAGGAAAATGATTTCTAACCATTTTATTTTCAACAAGATAGGTAAATATTCATTCTAAAATGATTTAGAAATAGGTTAGAACTGACAGGACAAACTACTGCAACTTTTTTGTGGATAGTATTTTTCAAGTTTCATGAAGAAATTTAGAAAGTAAAAATATATAAGGAGTGTATAAGATTTATCGTGAATTAGTCGGGAAGGATTATTGGGATCTAGGAGGATTTAATAAGAAATTCTTGAGATTTAGGTGGATATACTAAGGAATTACTAAGATGTATTGAAATTTGGAGGATTTCCAATACTATAAGAAGGAATTACAATCTCGGAATTTATTTAAAAACAAAAGGATAGATGTACATACACTTTTTAACCAGTGTGTTCCCTCTCGGCATACACGTATTTACAGTTTTTGTTCTTAGTACAGGATCTGATCTAACGAAATAAAGTTAAATTAAATTGTAGTTATTCTAAATTGTGGTAAAATAACTGCTTTACATTTTCGGAGGGCTCCAAAAATACAGACATACATATACATAAATGATTACAGTCCACGTAACCAATAATTCTGTTTGGAACAGTAATTTTATTTCCTTCATGTTGGCAAATAAATTACGGTAAAATTAAGACAATAAGATCAAGATTACATTAAAATACAACTTTCTGTTTTGCCGGCTGTGATTGGTGTAATTTTTCATGACATTCAACCAGTCTCGAGCGTAGATGAACGGTTTGCCATTGTTCATTGTAAACGAATCATTAATATTGGTGGCGCCAATATTTAGTGAATTATCATTACCAGTACGTCTTGTGAGGTTGGTTGCCTAAGCGCGAGCGGTTACGTAGCTTGTAAACATTTATGAAGGCTCTGTATATTTGTCCATAATTGTAATTAAATACTTTTTGAGAGAATCACAGTACTCTGAAATAGAACTATGTAATTTTGTACTGACCTGTTCCTTATCTTCTTGGGTTTTCGGGTATAGGGTAATAGACAGAAGTATTTCGCCAAGTGAGGTTTCCGGTCTAGAAGGGTCCTGTAACGCTAAGGCTATATCGTGTGCTCTTGATAAGTCCAAGGACGTTAGCTCTAAGGTTGCAGCTCCCATGAAGTCATCCTATAAGAAAGTGTAAAGTACAAAATAACTCCAAAATAGCTACTCAGATAAAAGTAAAACTTGCAGAGAGTAATAGTAGGGCTGTAGGGGGTAAAGGACATTTCTTTATAACGAGCGTTCAAATAAAAACGTGGTCAAGTTGGTTCTGAAAATTTGGACGTAGGGCGTAGCGTATAGCAAATGAACTTAAACGTCATCTGTCAAAGCGCTGTATCGCCGCATTGTTATTGAAACTGACAGCTGCTATACAGCTCGTTGAGAAATGAGGTTAAGTTGGTCGCTATAAGCTACGCCCTACGTCCAATGTGTCAGAGCCAACTTCGACCACGTTTTTATTTGAACGCTCGTTATA